GGGATTCGTTAAGAAGGGCAAGTTGACCCCTATGTATATTGGGCCTTTTGAAATACTTAAAATGATTGGAGAGGTGGCTTATGAACTTGTATTTCCACCTAGTCTATCGGGTGTTCATCCAGTGTTTCATGTATCTATGCTCCGAAAGTATGTCGGAGATCTATCTCATGTTTTGGATTTCAGTGCAGTTGGATGGTAATTTGACTAATGATGTAGATCCGGTGGCTATTTTGGACCGACAGGTTCGAAAGTTGAGATCAAAGAACATAGCTTCAGTGAAAGTACAGTGAAGAGGCCAGCCAGTTAGAGAAGCTACTTGGGAGACTGAGTGGGAGATGCGGAGCAAATATCCACACCTATTTGAGGCTCAATGTATGATTCTAAACTCGTTCGAGGACAAACGTTTGTTTAAGAGGGGAGAATATAACGATCTAGCCGGTCGTTTTAAATATTACATCCATGTTACCCCCATTTACTGCTCAATTTATTCTTTATAGTTATTATAAAACTTGTCGGAGTAATTGGTTTGGGTCCGGTGAGGTTTCGGAATGAATTAAGACACTTGGTCTCAAAGATGAAAACTTAAGTTGAAAAGGTGGACCGGATGTGGACTTATATGTAAACAACTCCAGAATAAGTTTTGATGATTCCAATAGCTCCGTATGGTGATTTTGGAATTAGGACCGTATCCAGAAAATTATTTGGAAGCCCGTAGTTAAATTAGGCTTGAAATGGCGAAAATAGAAAGTTTAAGTTTGGAAGTTTGACCGGGGAGTTGACTTTTTGATATCGAGGTCGGAATCCAGTTCTAAGAATTTTCATAGGTACGTTATATCATTTATGACTTGTGTGCAAAATCTGAGGTCAATCAGACTTAATTTTATTGGTTTCGCCATCGAATGTAGAAGTTAGAATTTGTTAGTTTTCCTTAGGCTTGAATCGGGATATGATTCGTGTTTTAGCGTTGTTTGATGTGATTTGAGGTTTCGACTAAGTTCATATGATATTTTAGCACTTGTTTGTATATTTGGCTGATGTCCCGGGAGTCTCGGGTGAGTTTCGGATGGTTAATGGATTGAATTTTGGACTTGAAATATTGCTGGAATTTTTCTGATGCACTTTCTGGTTTCCTTCTACGCGATCGCATGAGAAGGTCCACGATAGCGTAGTCTTAGCTGGGCAGTGGAGAAATTTATTCTTCGTGATCGCGTGAAAAGGGTTGTGATCGCGTAGCTTTGGATGCCAGTGCATCGCGAACGCATAAGGCATGTCGCGTTCGTGTAGAAGAAATGAGGTAACAAGGGCCACGCGAGGTTATGCTTCGCGATCGCGTGGACAGGTCAGCGATTGTGTGGGTGTGAGAAGCTGTGCTTCATGATTGCGTGGCATTATCCGCGATCATGTAAGGTTCATTTGGGCAGTGGGAGATTTGTGCTTCGCGATCGCGTGGACAAATCCGCGATCGCGTAGAGAAAACGACTTGGCAACAGATTTAAGTTCTGAAAATAGAACTTCGTCCCATTTTCCCATTTTTAACGGTTTGGAGCTCGGGCAGAGGCAATTTTCGGGAGAGTTTCAAGAAAAATATCGGCGTAAGTATTCTTAACTCAATTTTGGTCAAATAACCCGTATCTATTTCTATTTGTAGCATTTAATTGGTGTTTTAAGTTGAAAAAATTGTGAAAACCCTTAAAGTTGAATTGAGGATTTGAAGGTAGAGTTGATGTCGGAATTTGGTAAATTTGGTATGGTTGGACTCGTGGTTGAATGGGCGTTCATATTTTGTAATATTTGTCGGGTTTCGAGACGTGGGCCCCACGGGTGATTTTTTAGTTTAATTTTGAATTTTGTTGGAAAAATTATATTTTCATATGGAATTAATTCCTATAATTTGTATTGACTGAATCGAATTAATTGTGACTAGATTCGAGGTATTCGAAGACCGATTCGCATTGCAAGGGCATATTGGAATAAAGAATTACATGATTTGAGGTAAGTAACACTTCAAAACTTGGTTGTGAGGGTATAAATCCCTGAATTACGTGTTATGTGAATTGTATGAATATGATGCACATGCTAGGTGACGGGCGTGTGGGCTTGCACCATTGAGATTGTGACTTAAATAACTTATGTAGAGTTGTAAAATTAAAAAAATCATGTCATTATCCGCATATCCTCCACGTGTTAGAGAAACTGAGATGAGGCTCGTATTAAAGATCATGTTTAGGTTACGTGCCGATATTTTGGGACCTACAGGGTTGTGTTATTGTTGAATTAATTATTTTAAAAATATAAATTTCATACTCAGTCATATTCATCCATTTGTGAGGATATTTATGGGATCGAGTTGCATGCCGCAACAGGCCATATTGGCTTTATATATATTATTATATAAATCGGGGTTGCACGTTGCAGCATGCCTTATAGGCTTTATTATTATGGGANCTCCCCCCCACAGTGAGCGCAGTTGATGTTTATATTTGGGATGGACTTCCCAGGGCATGGAATTGCCTTATTTATTTATATTAGGGATGGATCTTCCCTGGGCATGGATCTTTCCCGAAACATTTATATTTTTGGNTCATATCATTCAGAATTGATCTATTTTACTTGTACTGAGTTTAACTGTTGAACTTGAAAGCATGTCTACATTTCTGTACTGTTATTTCTATACTAGAATGTACCTGCTGAGCTCGTCACTACTTTC